CTCTGGTAGTCGATGGCGAAGAAGACGACGCGACGGTCTGACGTCACGGGGTCAACGTCCGCTTCAACTTGTAAAAATTTGCGACTTGACAGGATAACATGGATGGCTTTCTGGAAAGTAGTAATGAAGCTGGCGTCCATGGAGAATAAAACGTTTTTAAGGTCGCAGAACACAGTAATTATCCGCGACCCCCGGGTCTATGACGCGGGTATAGAAAGTAGTGCAGACAAACCTCTTGCATCCTGGCTAAAGCGACTTATGTGAGAGGTAGGTATGAATAAACTGCACTGTGTGGTAAGGAAATGTATCGGCTTGTACACAGTATGAGTTGGAGTGTGAAGATTTCCCTGTTCGTGTATTAAACCACGTTCCAGGGTGAGCCGGCTGCAGTTCCGTTGACCCCGGTAGAGGGCTAAATCAAAGTGGTCGTCATTATGTTAAAAAACGATAACTTTTTTTTTTCAGTTATTTTGTAGAATATACAGTATATTTCAACATGTTAGTTGGCCGTGATTCTCTAGTGCACCCTACTATAATTTTTACCGAGTCGAAGTGAGTCACCTCGGGGTGCTTAACTATAGAAATCCCCATAGGGCGAAAACTGTATTCTGCCACCTTAAAAGAGAACACATCAGGAAATGACACAGAGACTCCCATGTGTATGCTGTTAATTTGTTAGGGTGGTTTCCCCCATTTACGAATCCTAAATTTCAATTCAATTCTTCGATCTCAAGTGACATGAATCAACGTTGAAAAGTTATGACTGTCCTTATTATATTAGACCTTGGAATTACCGGAGTTTCTGTCTTTCGATAGCTTTGAGAAATTCAAAGAATTATGACATAAAATGGTAATCAACTTCTAAAACCAGGACAAATTGACTCAGTGTATCATATTTCGATCGTCAATGCAATGATACATTTCTCAAATGTCCTTTAGATCGCTGCTCTATGGAACTAGATATTTCAGTGTTGGGGGGGGGGCTGGTTCATTCTTTGTGCATTCTGGTCGTTATAAAGATTCATTTAACACATCAAACTTTCACCTGACTGTATTTATACTGACTTTTATCAATAATTGTGGTCCTTTCAGTGATCACTGAGAATTCATACAAGCTGTTAAAGCCATTCTCAGCCCCCTAAGTGTCATTGCAACATCGGGATGTTCATCATCCTCACCATGGATACTCCGCCTCATCTTTAATGCCTGTTCAAAATACCTGAGGGCCTTTCTGTAATTGCCAAGAATGCCCCATGTAACACCCAGGTTGTTAAGTAACGCGGCGATGCCAGGATTCACAGTGTCCTCACCATGGATACCCTGCAAAATCTGTAGTGACCGCTCATAATAGCCGATGACCTTTGCATGATCACCGAGGTCACTCCAGGCTTTAGCCAGGTTGATAAGTGACCTGGCGATGTCAGGATTTTCATTGTCTTCACCATATATTGACCTTTTCATCTTTAGTGACTGTTCAAAATAGCTGACGGCCTTTCTGAGATCACCAAGGTGCTTCCAGACAACACCCAGGTTGTTAAGTGACGCGACGATGTTACGATGTGGAGTTTTCTGACCAAAGAATTTCCGCTCCATCCGTAAGGAATGCTCAATATATTCGAGGGCCTTTCTGTGATCACCAAGGTCCATCCAGGCGGCGCCTAAGTTCTTTATTGACCCGGCGATTTCAGGGTGTGCAGTATCCTCACCGTAGATAGCCCGCCACATCTTCAGTGACTGTTCACAATAGCTGACGGCCTTTCTGTGATCAGCAAGGTTCCTCCAGGCAAGACCCAAGTTGTTAAGTGAAATAGCAATTTCGGGATGTGCAGTGTCACCATAGATACTCCGCTCCATCTCCAGTGTCTGTTCATGGTAGCTGACGGCTTTTCTGTGATCAGCAATGTCACTCTGCATCCAGCAGTTACCCAAGTTGGCGAGTGACTTGGCGATGTCAGGATGTACAGTGTTCTCACCATAGAGTCTCCGCTTCATCTGTAGTGACTGTTCATAATAGCTGATGGCCTTTTCGTGATCGCCGTGGTTCCACAAGGCATTACCAAAATCGTTAAGTAAATTTGCGATCTCAGGATGTACAGTGTCCTCGCCATAGATACTCTGTGTCATCTCTAGCGCCTGTTTTTGGTAGCCGACGGCTCTTCTGTAATCACCTACGCTGTTGCAGGCGTTACCCAAGTTGCCGAGTGACTTGGCGATGTCAGGATGTTCAGTGTCCTCACCACAGATACCCCGCCACATCTGTAGTGCCTGTTCATTATAGCCGACGGCCTTTCCATGGTCGCCACAGGCGTAGCAGACGGCACCCAAATTGTCAAGTATCGCAGCGATGTCACGATGCGCAGTGCCCTCTCCATGGATACTCTGATACATGTGTAGTGACTGCTTTTGACAGCTTATGGCCTTCCTGTGATCACCAACATACAAATAGGCCATACCCAAGTTATTAAGTGACCCGGCGATGTCAGGATGTTCAGTGTTCTCACCATGGATACTACGTTTCATATGTAGTGATTTTTCATAATATTCGACGGCCTTTCTGTGTTGGCCAAGGTTCATACAGGATGAAGCCAACTGGCCTAGTGAGTTGGCGATATCAGGATGTGCAGTTCCTCGATCATGTTTAGACACCTCATCCTGTAGCACCCATTCCATGCATGATTTTGCTTTGTCGTACTCACACAGACTTGCATAAACCACTGCTTGTATCTTACGTGAGTTGTCAAACAGGATAGGAGATCTTGCCGACGTAGGGTGAAGTTTGATGATAAGCTGTGAAATTAATACTCTTAATGGTGTTGCTGTGTAATAGTACCTCATCAGTTGCTTTGTATTGGAGAGGTAAAACACTTTCCTTAACTTCTCCCCGATATCTGTGTTAACAGGCATGTATGACAAGGCTGACATGTTCTCCACCTGACCACGGTTGTTCATGTATGTCCGCAGCCTCAGTTCTGCTGAGATGCTGACCAGCACCATCAAGTGATGCGCGTTTTCACTGTTGATGACTCCGTTCTTGTTCATGTTCTGAATAGTCTCCCATATTGTGGTGGGTTGTATACCACAGAGTAGTGCCCAACACGACACTGCCAGGGTCGAGAATCTATAGATTTCTTTCTTTACATTGAGCAGGCTAGATGATGGCACTGTAGATGTTATCATTTGGAAATTGACATCTTCGGTTATTATGCTCAATGCCTGTAACACAGATACTATTTTACCTCTCTGGAGGTGCTGAGTCCATAGAGTGGAAAACACATCTACCAAGTTCTGCTCTCCTGTGATTAAACACACATTCCCCAATATACTTGCGACATGGTACCCTTTCTCTAAATAAAAGTTTAAGTCGTCTTGCATGATTCTGGTCATATTTCGCGGTGTGTGGATAAGTTCAAGTGTCGCACCTCTTCCCAGTGGAGTCTTACATGCATGCGGCATGGCTCCGTCGAACGCGAACCCGCGCGGCGTTACAGAGTCATAGAACCAGTTGTTCGGGGGGTCTTTGGAAAAATCAATAAACGACTTAATCGCCATTGCCGGGAGAATGGTTTCTCCCAAGTTAATAACTTTGAGATGCAGATAATGAGTGAGGTTGCGGAAATACTCGACGTTGCTCCTTGTTTCCTCCTCTATCAGGATGGCGAACTCCAGATCAGAGTATGGCGTTACTAACCCTGTGGCCAGTGAACCCATGCCTATCATTGCGTACTTACAGGGAGGGGGGCCCATTGCCCCCATACATTCATCTACAAGGGCAGATATGAATGTTTTTCTCTGTTCAACAATGGATTGGAACAGTGTCATAATCGCTTCCACTCTCTTCTTCTCTACTTCTCTTATCTCTGGATCATCGTCGTCAAGACTATAAGGATCGATCTCCTGCTCGTTTTTTTTTCATCTCTTCTTCTACCTGCTCTCGATCTTTCTTTAGTATTGATTTGTGTTTTTCTGTGTCTTTTTTCTCCACATCTTGTGCGATCCCAAGCACGTGTTTAACAAATAGCTGACTAGTTCTTAGGATCGTTTGTTTGATGCCATCTCTGTCTTCTGTCCTTGCTCTGACCAGCGCGGCATTACGGAGTGCTGCAGCCTTGGTGAAGTCACTTCCGTCTTTTGACTGCTTTCCTCTTTCCAGGTAGATATCGCTTAGTTTACACAAAGGCTCCACCTCCTTTTCGCATTGGTCAGTAGTTGCATCTGAATGAATCAATAGTTTCGCGTTATTCTATTTCGGTTACTCGGTAATATTTTAAAAGACAAAGAAATTAAAACTCTTTTAATTGCTGACCTAGATGCACTAGCATCATGGATAATCTATTTACCTAGTATCTTCAGTACGTTACATACTTACCCATAATGTTAAGAGGACTCTGTAGTGATATTTTGTGCGGTTTATTTATTGTGATTAAGAAATATTCGAAATAATGATGATACTTATCAGAATGACACCATAAAAACATAATGGTATAATTGATAAAGATATTGTGTTTTTTCTGCTAGTAAATATTATTTAGGTACTACATACGTTTCACATGAACGGCCTTGAGCGCAGCTGCAAAGTTCCGTTCTGCCGTGTCCAGGTCCCCTGTCTGCAGGGTCCTGCAGCCTTCCTGTAGCTGGTCTGTGCACACACTGTAGCAAAAAGATGATTACGCTTTTAAAATTCATATTTATATTTTATCTAGAATTCGAAATATCAGCACTGATGGTTACTAATATTTCATTTATCATATTATCCTCATTTGATATTTGTACTACATGAATAGGGTTTGGATATAAAGTGTTTTCAAGATCCCCTTAAAATTGAGATAAAGAGAAATACTTCCTTCTAGTCTGTAACTTTGGTAAACGTTAAAGTTGTTTTTTCGTCAATTTATTTTAATTGATAAAAATAATTGATGACATATAAATCCTAAATGCTGTAATGGCTCAAACTTAAAGATATGAGTCAACAAGTTTTTAAAAAAAGGCAACTTGATTAACATCACTGACCTTAATTTATCTACTGTTGGAAGGGTATAACCTTGAAAAATAGTGGAAGGGACCTTGTTTGGTCCAGATGATAGCCACTTGCTCCTGCTTTTGCCTCTCAGGATCATCTAAACAGAACAGATTGCAGCAACCTTGATATATAATTTACCAAATGTAGACAACGACAATTAACCAAACTATCACCTAACACCACCAGATTTACAATTAGTCCTAATATTTGAAGCAACCAACAAGGCCCTCGACACAGAGGAAGTTTTTATTACATAGATGGAATTTTATGCTATCAAAAACAACAAAGCACAAAGTATTATTTCATCAAGCTCAACACTTACCCGTCTCCTTCTTTCCTCCATGTCCCTCCTAACTTTTGCTGCGTGCAGTAAGCGATGTGTGAGGACGGTTTTCCCATGTGGATCGTCACATCGCTCCAGGGCTGTGCTGTACAGGGCTGTAGCCTTGGTCAAATGCCTGGGCTCCTTTAAGTCTCTTCCTTTCTTAAGGTTGACGTCTCCAAGACTTTTTATAGCTTCTACTTCTAACAGATTGCCCCTCTCCACTATCCCTTTCACAAGAATCTTCGTGTAACCATCTAAAATGGAGTCCATATGGCCACCTCTAGCCAATTTCTTATCCAAGTTTTGAAAAATTTCTGAAGTCCTTGCAACAGAAGTAATTGTGTCATTGAATGAGCTAGCAATGGGTGCTTTCTGTCCAGGTTTCTCGGCGAGTTTGACCCTATGTTGGAGAGACTCGCCTTCCCCCGGGTCCTCACAGCGGAGCAGCGCGGCCCTGTACAGGTTCAAGCCCCGCTCTAAGTTGCGTGGAGCTTCGGTCTTGTGGAGTTTTCCTTTCTCAACGTTCAAGTCTCCCAGGCTCTTCAGTACCTCCACTTCCTGCAGCCTGTCCATATCAGACATGGCGGCCAGAAGGGCTCGGCCGTACCCCGTCTCGGCCAGGTCATACCTGTTAGCCGCCACAAACCTCCGGCATCGCACGTCTATAGGGTGAAGGGTCCCGGCAACACGCAGCATGTTCTCCTGATGTTGATATCTATAGATGTTATAGCGGAGGGGCTAATAAAGGGTTAATGTCCCGACACTGGGTGTCTATGGTGAGATAATCCCTGGTCGGGTGCGATAACCACCAAATGAACCACCGAGTGAGGCGGTTATCGCACAGGACCAGGGATTATCTCACCATATATACCGAGTAGAAGGCGGGGCATTAACGTTATTATCATATAGCCTATCGTACTAACTTATTTGACTCAAATTTCTTTACAAAATTCCTCCATTGCCGAAAACAACTGTATGTTACGTGAAACAAGATGGCGTGGACAGAAAAACAGATGCATCTATGTAATCATCTGCGGTGACCATGTGGCATTGAAACTACAAGTCTTAACACCGCTGTTAGTGTCCTGTCCCCCGCATAATGGTACAGTCCAAAAAGTGGGTGGTTATCTGAATAACCGCCAAACTTTGGTCTGAATAACCGCCAGACTGTGGTCTTTTGTCTTTCTTCTCTTTGACTGAATTAATTATCTTATAAGGCCACCGAGCCCATTCCACTAGGACAGCGCTCTCGCCGCGGTCTCTTACCGTTTTGGACCGGCTCACCGCGTACCATGAGAGCGCACAGAGAGTGCCGCGAGAGCGCAGAACGGTCTTGGAAACATGGCGACCTTGGCGATCTCTCGGCGCTCTCTCCGCGCTTCGGCCAATTTCAGGCAAAGCACAGTGAGACCGCTGTCCTGGTGGAATGGGGGTCCTACACCCTCTATTTCTTAATTTGAATGTACATGTTATGTACAAAAATGGCCTTAAAAATACACAAAAATTTTTAGGTAATAATAACGTTGTATTGCGGTAATAACAACGTACAGATCTTCATGTACGTATCTAGGTTGGGAATTCAACGATGAACATTGCAATAGGCAAGTATTTATGATGCAAAATGATGTAGAGTATCAAATTCCACTTAAAGTGTAGGTAATGCTGAGGTCACAGTTTGCCTAAGGGGCCTGGCGGGGCAGAGAATGAAAACTATGACATAAAAGACAACAAACACAGAGAAATTTTTAATAATAATCATTGGCAACATTTCTGTATATTCTTATTATGACTCATCAATTTTTCGTTCAATACAAACAGCCTGGTCGGGGCCCGGTTTGGAAATGTGACTTAAGCATAACGGTCTAGGACATTCATACGGGGTCACAATGTTACTATGACGTAGTTTCACAGACTGTGTGTGGTCACTGTCCAAAGTCGACTGATCACGCGCTAGTCAGGCGGTGACTATCACACGTCATGTTTACCTTTGACCTCTGCCTGTTATATATTCACCAGTTTCCCATCCCCAGAATGCAATGCGAAAACAGGGGGGTCTAAACTCATTTGCATAGGACAGGAAGGCATCGGAATGATTCTGTTGACGTTAAACAGCTTGTTTTTCACTGTTGTTTGAGGTATTGGGGCATTTTATGCTCACCATTAATTAAATTACTATGGGTTGAATCTGACAACAAATAGAGAATTAATTTTTTCGATTAAGTGGTTTGTAATGTGATGCTGTAACGTTACAAACCACGTGTTGAAAAGAACACAAAAACTTCATACTCTATTTGTTATCAGATTCACCCCATATAGTAATTTAATTAGTGTTGATCATAAAATGCCTCAACACCTCAAAACACAATGAAAAGCAAGCTGTTTAACGTCAACAGGATCATTCCGATGCCTTCCTGTTCTATGCAAATGAGTTTAGACACCCTGTTTTCGCATTGCATTCTGGGGATGGGAAACTGGTGAGTTGCAGCGTCTGTCTTAAAATTTCGTACCAAAGGTTTGCCTGTCCTGCCACGGGACAGGATTTTCAAACAGCAGCCACAAAAAATTAATACGATGTGAATTGACATGAAGTGTTTTAGCTACCTACACCATGCTTTTTGGATGACGTCAAGTTTTGGTCTGACTGAGAGCTACTTTGGGAATAACAGCATTAATGGCCAAAATAATTACATATGTTATATACTATTGAGCACCATGGTACAGATGCTGCAATACTAAACCACTTTATGTTTAATAAAGACTTATTAGCCTAATATTGCCCCTGGCAAAACAAATTTTAGGGGACTTTCCGATCGATTTGAGAATATTGTTGGCTGTGGTATACTTACTTCTAACTTGTTCCTTATCACGCCTAGTTCACCAGACGTCAATTAAACTGCTTGTTCTGCAAGTATTTAGCGAATGGATGGGCAATCCTGTCAACTTATAAACTGTGAAAGAAAAACTGTTTTTTCCCTCAATGACCCATGGCCCCATTTATCTTGAATAGCCAAGAATTTTTTAATGATTTGCAGCAGAGTGCCCTTGGGTAGACCATGCAATACCGCCACTTTGAAAACAGCTTTTTATACTTTATCGGGATAATCTTCCTGGATTCCAACAATAACACAAAACAAAACATTACACAAACTTCACAATCATATAAAAACGACATTGGGATTCTACACCACTTGACTTCAACACAAATGTACATTCATATGGTAAGGTCTTACTAAATAAGTTTGCGTATACGGACAGCGGTACTCACCTATTTAGTACTGTACAATTTCCAGTTAACCTCGTCACCGATGAGTAGAGATCAGGTACCCTATCTTAGATTTCAAACTAGAGGTAAGGCCGAGGTAAGACTGACGGTCCCACCTAGCCACTCGGTCCTGCGGAAGAGGACGTCCCCAGGTGTGGCCTCACCTTTTGTACTTTGCGGGGGTGTCTGGGAACGGGGATTCCCCTAAGCTTTGTTTGGGTAGAAGGATGACGTCTTGTTGAAACTTTGAGCCTTTGAGCCAGACTGTTAGCATGGCTTACACAGCCCAGATACTCAGTTCCCGGGTCAACATGACCCCGGGCTAATTCTACACGGCAAAGAAAAGCAACTCCTGGATAGGCAGCTAGCAAGCTTTCAACTCCATACCTGGAATTTTCCACTATCTTTGTATAAGTAAACACAACCCGGTAAATAGATATGGCATATCATTTTATATTAATATATCATGAATCAAGGAGCCCTGTTAGAAAACTGTAGTTTACTAAATATGATGCTATGCTTGTGTTTTTTTTTCATTTTGCCAAAATGATTCCTACACATTGTGAAGTAATAATGTATATGTATAATCTAAAGGTTGGAGAATATACTCGGGGCTCGAAATTAACGGTACCCAGATGTATACTGACCACTGAAATTTAGGCCGGGACAACTAAAAAAAACACTTTTGTGCCTTTTTTTGGGACAATTGAAAAATAATCAACATCAGAATGTAATCCCTTATTTGTTTATCAAGCACACTTCCTTGCTTTTGGTTCCGAAAAAGCCCCCCCCTCCTCTAAAATATAACGTAAGCAAAATAAGGTTGACTTCAAGTTGAAGACATTCAATACTAGTACTTTCCAAAAAACAGGTTGGGACAGTTCGCATCCTCACATAGGGACAATTGAAATTTATTTTTGGGACATTGCTGGGACAATTGGAAGAAAAGTTAATTTCGAGGCCTGATACTACCATGTAGCCAGCGTTAGTCTGGTAGAAACTAAATGTGACCAATATTCGGTGGGCCTTACATCCTTTTTCACAAGCATGAAGAGCCGCTTTTCTACACAGAACAGATTCTATCTTTCCCCCGATTGGCCTTCTTGTATCTTTCCACTTTATCAGCAGTGACTGGGAAGCACGCAAGGCGGCGCTGCGTAACGCCATCCAACACGTAGTGTTCTGCGACGTCAGGGAAAAGAACCCGCGGGGCGCTTTCAAGGGAGGACCGTATGACGTCGTTGGTAGTATATTTACCTCCATGAAAAATGGAGGTATTGTTTTTGGCGTGTCTGTGTGTGTGTGTTTGTATTTCAGCATAACTTCATAACGCCTTAATGGATTGTAATATTTGATATGCTGGTAGGTATTAGGAAGACAAAGGTCATGGTCAAATATTGGCCACCTGGTGGATGACCTTGGTACTGCAGCAGAACTTCCGGTTTTTGTATCTTTTGTCCTGAACATGCTATGGTCTTGACTTTTTGGTGACAGATAGCTTTTTCTGTCCCCCCTAGCAGCTTGTTCTGGAACTGCAGGAGACTTTTGGGCGAAATCTTTAAAAGCCAATGAGTCCAGATAGAAACAATATATTTTCATCATTTTTGGTGTGTGGGTAGAGGAGAGAGAGAGAGTTGTACATGCTGAAATGCAAATTATGCAAATGAGGACTTAATTTGCATAATTAAGGAGGAAATTATAAAACAACACTGTTTTATATAATAGTACTTTAAATTTATACATGTAATCTATTTTATCTGTGGCAGGCGGAACATCAACAGATACCAATTATGCAATTGATGACCTAATTTGCTTAATTGATATGAAAATTCTGTGACTTCTTATTGGTGAATGGTGGGAATTTTATACCTTGTGACATGTGTGAGCTACTTAAAAGTTAACACCACTATGCATTTATTATGTAGAAGTCATTTGCATAATTAATGAGGACACGTTGACATGAAGTATGACAAAGGTGAGGAATTTTACACGAAAACTATTGTCATTTGAATTTAGAAAAGCATTAATTCCATGTAATAACAAAAAACTGAATTAAACAGCCTCCATTATATTACACTTATCCATACAAAATGTCGGCATAGATGTACTGTCCCGAAATTAGTTTAATTTAAAATTTGTGAAAGGATGGATTCTTTTACTGTTAGACGGTACCCATGTAAAAAAAGGGGGGGGGGGCTTGAAGTTGCGGCTTTTATACTGTAAATGACCGCGGGTGACCCCAAATCGAACGAACTTTGTGTCGAATTACGTCAGATCGAACGTGATTCGGTACGACGAAAATGACCACCGTAATAGCAGGTTGAATTAGTAATATTTTCTTTGTCATTTTTCACCTTACAGAAGTGGAAGGTAAACATGATATCCATCTACGGCTCTGTTGCTAATTTGAATGGTCTGCGTGGGACAACAGTTCTGCGTTCTGTCGTGTCATTGTTACGTACGTGTGCATCATTGATATAGTGAAATTGACATGGTCGCGACGTCACACGATGGTCAGATTTGGGCCCAAAAGTCCCACTCTGCTACTATGGAGATCGAATCCCCCGAACCCGCGAATCTTGTTCGATATGACGTCATTCGAATAGAGCGGGCGTTCGATCTGGGGTTACCCGCGGTCATTTACAGTAAAGCCGCTATAACCGGCTACTTCAAGCCCTTTTTTACTCGGGAACCACGGAACAGGAAAAATCCACATTTCCACAAATATGAACCGTTGTCAAAACATTACATCTATGCCGTGATTTTATTGCGGATATGTAACATGTAACGAAGCTACTGCCGTCATCGTGGGTGACCTTGAAGGTCAGAATTCTTGTTGACGCTGTTATAAAATCCAGGTCCCCATATCCAAGTGGCACAGCATGCGTGCAAACATGGTATTTTAACCATTCCCAAAAATCACTCAAATTACCTCATTGAGGGCTTGTTTGGAAGAGGAACGATTTCCGCAGATTTCTGTCTTAGGGATTTTTTAAATATGGCCGCGATTATGAATTATCAGTATTTAAAGTTAAAACACTGCGTTTTTAGCTCTTCTTTTGACTGTAAGTCGAGTTTTAGTTAAAAATAAAAAAATCCTAAGACAGAAAGTTTAAATTTATTGTAATATTTCTAAAAATCCAAAATTAACCTTATTTTTAATTTTCGGGGCCTCTTAAAATCAGTTGTTTGGTTCTCGTGAACCCTTTTTGAAATCCGAAATTGATCTCATTTGGAAGCAAATGTACACAAAGTGGAGCAAAGGCAGTGCAAGAATAACATTTGAGGTAAACAAAATCACCTATTACATTTTATTTTGACGAGTATTTACTCTCCAATTACTTTTGTTTATTTTCAAATTTTACCGTTACCCCCGGG